TACTGCCTAGCGCTGAAGACTACTGCAGCGCTCCTCCTGAGTGCTGCGGCCGAATCCTGAAGACTACTCCTGCCTACTGACACTACCTACCCGTGAAGTGCATGGGACCTCCTATGTACTACGGGTGTGCCTCTTGAGCCTGCCGAAGGGAGGCAGGGGCTGCAGCTGCAGCTCCTGCTCGAGCACGTGAGGAACAGGCTATTTTGGGCCTGTTCCGCATCCCTGTTCCCGTGCCTGAGTCTTAGGGGCTGGTCGAAACAATGAGGGCCTGAAAATGGCCCTCCGTTTCAGGCTGAAAACTCTGGGTCTGAAAAGACCCAGAAATAGGCTGAAACGAGGTAGGGCCTGCAGGCCCTCGTTTTTCAGCATCCAGGCTGAAACGAACGGGGCCTGTAAGCCCTAAGTTTTAGGCTTTTAGGCTGAATGTCCGGGACGGGCCCTGCAGGGCCCGTGTGGCTACGCAGTATGCCACACTAAGTGTCGCATGCCGAAAGACAATTAGATGGGTATGGTGCAGAACCCAAGAACCGACCAAGGAGAATGAGCAAAATACAATGCAGCGGAAGACTGATACACACAGATTTGACTCAAAACGACTAAGACTGATTGAAACTCACTCATCATCATCAACAGGGTGAGAAGGCATGGCGCCGAAAACATAGACGAAGAGCACCGTGCCAGATCAGAATCCACAGATGAGGAGGAGGGAGAAGAGACAAAAGGGGAGAGATATGGAGATGTAGTCAACTCAAATGTCGCCCACATGAAGTCTCCAAAAAGTAACCTTTCAATGCCTCTGTCCAGATATCGGTTTGAGTCCAATGTCATGAAGTCTCAACTCTCGAAATCTCTCTCTCTCTCTCTCTCTCTCTCTCTCTCATAGAAGAAGAAGAAGAAGAAGAAGAAGAAGAAGAAGAAGAAGAAGAAGAAGAAAAGGAAGAAGAAGAATCAGAGGGAGGGAGGAGGAAGAGAAGTGACGGGGCCGGAGGGGACGAAGAAGAAGAATCCTCTTGAAGTTTGGAGCCATGTACTGACCAGTGTAAAGGTGTCTCCTGGGAGCTGTGATGCAGGTGGAAGACGCCTGAAGATGAACAGGAGCTATGACGCTAGGTAAGTCTGCAGGTGAGTCTCTCATAGTCTGGCCTCCGCCCTGAACCTCCTACTCCACTACTTTGCCTGTCTTCTCTACCGAAGCAGCACGGCCCAACAGCGGGTAGACCTCAACCTCTAACTCTGGGTACCACAAATGAGGCTATTGGCGGGCCTACTGCTATGTGACCGAAGAAGGCAGTGAGCTGTGAAATGGCGCCCAACTGGAAAGGAATGAACTTGGCGCCCAAACTGAAAAGCAGTGAACTGGTGCCCAACTGAAAAGGAATAAACTTGGCGCCCTAACTGACAAGTAGTGAACTGGCGCCCAACCCGAATCTGGCCTACGGCCACTGGACCTATATCGGTCCCCCTCTGCTGGCAGATACACTCGTACTGAAGGGAAAGTCACTGAACCAGACCGAAATAGGGACTAAGGCGAACGAGAAAAACAATGATGGGCCCGGAAGAACGATGGAACCCCCTAATCCCATGCCACCCCCCCCCCCTCCTTGAAAGACTGAGCCTAAGGGGCCCGTGTGGTGCATACCACGCCCCCCCCTCCTTGAAAGACTGAGCCTACCGAGGAGGGAGAAGTCTGTTGGAGGGAGGGACCGAAGTCCGGGTGGGACGGGCAGTTTGCTGATGTGAAGCCTCGACAGCCCGTCGTCGTTTCTCGTAGTCCGCGTAGATGAGCGGTGTTTAAGCTTGCAAGTCTGTTTGTGAGATCCAACATGTGTCGTTAGGGTCACATTGCTTGAATTTGACATATTGGGTCGGCTTTTTGCAGTAGTGGCGATGCATGATGACACAATCAATCTCTTGGTGGCCATCCATCAAAGGAGGGTCATGCGATCATCTACCGGGGAAGTCATCGCTCTCGGCCGACGTCTAAGTAGCCAGCTTCGAGGCGTGGAAGACCCGGTGGACTGTCAGATGAGTTAGGATCTGAATGACGGAGGGGCCATCCGGTTGATCACCAACTGAGGAAATGATGCGCTGTCGAGCGCACGGTCCCCGCTGGGGGAACCTTCCTAGCCGCGCCACGCAGGATTGGCAGAATTTGCAGGTCGCTTCACGAAAAAAGAAGTGGCGGAGCCATTCCGGCCGAGTGCGCCGCCTATACCTCCATCGAGTCCCTATGACCGGACAAGGTCTCGTGAGGTACAACTTACCTCCACCCGCGGGAGCTGTCACCATCCCTTGGGTGGGCGTATCCATGCCGAGCTACTGAACCACACGCGAAAGCTTTTACTTGCAATCGCGGAGGTGGCCCAACCGAGGGCATTTCTCGTATGCTGTAGCATAAGGGGTATGCGCGGTCCACGCCTAGCTCGAACCCGTACGCGAACCGTCACGCTGGGGCGCTGATCTCCCACGTGCGGTTCAACATTGGTCGACTAGGACATCCTAACTCAACCACGCGATACACAACAAAACAAACTAACTCAGACAAACAAATAAGCCTAGTCCCTTTTTCATATGTCGTGACCCAAAACTTAGAAGATCAATATGACTGAGCGAGGCCTGGGCGGAGTTGCATAAAAAGAATGCAGGTGCTACGAGAAACATAGCGCTCAGTCATGTGTACTCACTTGATCTCTTGTCATGGCGACGCTTCATGCGTTACCCACATCCGCGCACCCTTTCATGGGTTTGGGGGTTGCATACGACACTCAAGTGCTGAATGTGACATAGCGTGGAGGGTTCTTCCTTCACCATATTGCACAACTCAAGGATAAGCCGTTCAGCCCTTGCGGCGCCCCTGTCTTTTAGAAAGTTGGTGACCATAAGCAAGAGGCGTACGCTTGACTCAAGGGGGAAACCCTTTTGTGCTCGACCAGAGACTGGGATGTTCTTGGACAAGGACCTCGAATTCCAGCCTCAGGACCAACGTCCGACTAATAATTTAAAAAACAAAACCCCTTTGAGATGGAATTCGCTCATCCCTTCCCCGAGGAAAGAAAGTAACAGTAGTCACGGGTTGGCGAGCAATTCACCATACCCAAACTAAGTCCCAGTTCGATGGAGGATCGAGCGTTAATCCTTGCGCTCAGCCACTCCTGCCTGCTTGCTTGATGCGTGAGGCAGAAGTGGAAAAAAAAAAAAAAACGGGGAGTATCGGAGGAAATCAGGAAGAGTCATTCTCACAGCCATAGTTGAACGTTGTTACTCACACGCTGTACTCATTCATCCATATCACTCTAAATCCAAGAGCAAGCCCTCGCTCCCATACGTACCTGCACCCACATGAAACCCAGTGAAAATCCATACATAGATGCCACAAAACGTGGTCAACCCCTTTTTCTCCCAGGTTCATATCCCACACGCCTCTTTCCGAACCCCATTCAACACAGGCATACTCGCYCATCCTGATTCACCCAACTTTTGCATGGCCATTCAAGAGAGGTTCAAGGATACGTTTTCTTTCATACAGAAATGCCTTTCGCCTATAGGGTCACAAACATATGGGAGTGGGTATCATGGTGGGTAGGAGTTGAGTCACAAACCGACTTGCTATCAAACTGATAGTAGAAGTTGATGAAGCTCAGGACTTCGAAGAACACTTGCAGGTAGCAATGACCTGCGTCACAAAGATCAAGACAGGCATCGCCTATCGAGTTAACGGAGTTCCACTCCGTATCGCACTCTAAGCTACTTAGTAGTAGCGTCCGTTAACGATATGAAAATCCCAAAAATTTCGGCAACACTTCCTTTAGGGAAGTGTGCTCGAAGAATATTTACTATACCAAATCTAAAAAGAAAAACTTGAGACTCAGAAGATATCTGAAAATAAACTAACTCATTGGTTCCAGTAGAAATTTCGGCAGCACTTCCTTGAGAAAGGAAGGCTTCAAGAATTCCTACTGACTCCAAAGACTAACTATATCCTATCCTAGCTGACACCTCTGAAACTTGACTAACTTTGAGTTTTTAGCAGAAATTTTGGCAGCATATCCCCTAAGGAAAAGAGGCTCCCAGAACTTCTACTAACTCAAAGGCTAGTCAATGCCCTACCAAAACAATCATGCATGAAAAGACAAATGCGAAGATAAAAGTGAACATCTAGCTGCCTATCGCTCAACCATAAAGCGAGCACTAACAGACTACCCTACTTAGCAGAAAACCGACAGAGCTTTGAACAAAAAGACAAAGCATTGTCAACAAGCATGTCATGTCCACATCGCATTCAACCAGTTCAAAATAAGAGTTCTTTCATCAAAAGTTTTCATTTTTCGCTTGTCCTGATCACAAAAACACGACTCCTGTACCTTACTTAGTTGATTAGCTTTCCAAGTTCTTCTCAGTCAACCCCATGCAATCACTAACCCACTATCCCGGACTATTCTCACAAAGAGAATACTCAAACCTTTGTCAACAAGCAAAACTGACTGACTCGGCAAGGCGACTGGATCAATCAAAACGACTTCACTTCCAGCCCAAATTCAATGTCTTAGGAAAACAAGCAAGGCGACCGGATCAGTCTAGAGGACCTCATTTCCAGCCCCAGTTCAATATCTTAGGCAAAACGAGCAAGGCGACCGGATCAGTCTGGAGGACCTCATTTCCAGCCCCAGTTCAATGTCTTAGGCAAAACGAGCAAGGCGACCGGATCAGTCAGGAGGA